CAAACAGACAACACAACCTTTATTTGGTGACGATCGGCCTTCGAATTTGTTTGAGCTGGTTCATCCTTTTTAGATCATGATCTTGTATACTTATATATATTATTGTAAACAAACCACTTTTCGTCGCCAGTAACAATGCACTTTAAAAATAGATTACTACTTCGACGTTTGATAAGCAAATTACTGTCGTTAATGCGACGAAGCAAATTTCATCTGTAAGGACATGAGGAACCCATATGCCCAGCTTCGAAATTAATCCGCCACGTTTCATGTGCTTGTGAACGGTCGCGTTAAACAAATTTATTATTTCAGCAATCTCTCGAGCTGTTATTCGATGATTTGCATCGATCAACGACTTTACTTTATTCCGTTCGGCTTCAAGAATCCTTCCAGGACGTAGTGCATCCTCAAGATCGAATTTGCCGAAAAGAAATTTTGCAAACCAATTTTGGCATTATCGTTCGCACGTTTTCTCAAAAGCCTTACTATAACAGCTGTTCAAATATATAACGGTAAAGCGTTTAAGTGCGAAGTTGGCTGCGAAAAAGTTCAATAAGATCAGCTGTTGGCATCAAACGCAATTACTTAGTAAACGACCCTATAGTATTTTATGCAAAATACAACTTTTTCAATTCGAAGCTATCTTTACATTTTCTGCTTTTGGTGGAGCAAAATGATGTTTCCTTGTAACTGATAGCATCAAGTTATAGTCAAGAATTATGTTAGAAAATACATGGAACCAATCATTCATTATATTCGTAGATTTTACTGTCTCTCAGTGGCGATGTTCATAACATCATGTAATTGCGCTTGCGATGTTATGAGGAAAGTGTTAAACAATCAACCTAACTTTCTGATGAACAATTCGAAATTTTCGAGAAATTTAATGCGATCAAGCTTTGGGAATTAAGAGTCTTCAACTTTTTACTACACTTGGAAATTCGTTAAGAAACTTTAACAAATAACTTTGTAATAAAAATTTTGAGAAATCTGTAAAATTTTATACGCTGTTAGGAATGCTGATAAAACTTGGATAATCTCAAATGATGTTAGACCAGAAAAATTTCATTTTTTCCACTCGTGCAATAATAGTTTCACTACTTATCAATTTTTAATTGTGCTTATAAATAAAAAAAAAATATTAAAAATTTACGTGAAAAAAAGAAGTAGTGAGTAGTCATAGGAAGCAAAGTACACTCTTAGTCATGGTTGAAGTAAATTATGGATATACATATATAGAACTTATTGCAAAATACACATATGTATAACTATCTACTTACATACGCACATATTAGTCTTAATCAATTTGCTCTCGCTTTCAAGCCAACAATTTTTAATCCAGATACGTAACTTTAACACTCACATATTTGCTCACACATATTTGCATACATATTTGTTAGTAAATATTCAAAATTAGTCAGTATGTAAATACTCTTACTTGGGACACATGTACGTAACATACATATACATACATGTTTTCATATGTACATATGTATGTGCAGTGACAACCGAAAATTGCCGCTTTGCTATTTAAAATAACAGAACGAAAGGAGCCTCTGACTAAGACAATTTTTCAGAATTTTATACAAGTTAAATGGCAAATAAAAATATTTATTTATATAGGTATGTTTTTATTTACTGTAACGTCAACGGCGCTACTTGACGTTGCGCTTCTTATCATTTAAATTACAATATATGAATGTAGGTAACCCCTTGCAAATAGAGGGCACACATACAATGCAAATGTATTTGTACGCTTCCTCACTTTATTGCTTGCTGATACCTTTCTTCATTCATTTATTTCCATTTAGTATACATAAATATATACATACATACATGGGGCTTCCAGTGTCAAGGACCGGCTTATCAATTTCCCGTAAGAACAATATTTTGGGAAGCATAATACTCGTGTGTAAAAGTGTGAGTAAAAATAATATTATATTATATATGAGATGTAAGCACACGCTAAAATTTGCTAAGAGCAGAAATTATCACCTATGTGTGGGGTCTACCAACAAGAACGACGTGCTGTTGAATAACAAAAAAAAAACACTTCAATTGGTCAAAATGTGTTTTTTATACTCTCGCAACATGTTGCTACAGAGTAAAATAGTTTTGTTCACCTAACGGTTGTGTGTATCACCTAAAACTAATCGAGTTAGATAAAGGGTTATATATATATAAATGATCAGGATGAAGAGACGAGTTGAAATCCCGGTGACTGTCTGTCCGTCTGTCCGTCCGTCCGTCCGTGCAAGCTCTAACTTGAGTAAAAATTGAGATATCTTTATGAAACTTGGTAGACATGTTTCTTGGTACCGTGAGACGGTTGGTATTGCAGATGGGCGTAATCGGACCACTGCCACGCCCACAAAACGCCATTAATCAAAAACAAATAACTTGCCATAACTGAGCTCCGCAATAAGATACAAGACTGTTATTTTGTACACAGGATCACACTAGGGAGGGGCTTCTGCAGTTAAAATTTTTTTTAAAAAGTGGGCGTGGTCCCGCCTCTAATAGGTTTAATGTGCATATCTCCTAAACCGCTAATGCTATAATAACAAAATTCACTAGAAGCAAATGTTTTTAGCACTTCTATTGACGGTGTGGAAATAGTTGAAATCGGGTGGCAACTCCGCCCACTCCCCATATAACGGTACTGTTAAAAACTACTAAAAGCGCGATAAATCAAGCACTAAACACGCCAGAGACATTAAATTTTATCTCTGAGATGGTATAAATTGGCTTTATAGGAACCGCGTTCAAAATTAGACAGTGGGCGTGGCACCGCCTACTTTTAGGCGAAAACTTATATCTTGGGATCTGCTTAACCGATTTCAACCAAATTCGATGCATAACATTCTTTTCATATTTCTATGTTATAGTGCGAAAATGGGCGAAATCGGGTTACAACCACGCCTGATTCTCATATAACACCATTTTAAATTCCACTTTGCGTTAAAGTATTTTACCTTGTGACTAAAAATTGTCTAAAACGAATCAAAACTGTTCAAGTCCTTAAGCACTGGATATGTGGACCCCAATGCCTATAGTTGACTTTTTGCCAAAAATATCGGTCAATGTGTGAGACATATATATAATTGAAATTCATATTATAACTCTCGATAACAGTACGTCTTTGTGTCAAAAACTGGTTGAATCGGATTAACACTTCCTTTAATAAAAAAAGTTTGCCAACACCTGAAGTAATTTCCTGGGTTTTGATCCTTGCAAGTTGCGAGAGCATAAAATGTTCGGTTACACCCGAACTTAGAACTTCCTCACTTGTTTTTTGCTTTGTTATGCAGATAATTTTATGCCACATATGATTTGAACGAAATGTCGACTAAAAAAACGAATTTTCTATAGTCGAATACACTCATACTTTACAGGAACCGCTCGTGAAGAAAATTGAGTATTTTTCTGAACTAGATATAATATTTTCAGTGATAAATGCATATATTGTTATAATTCAGAAAGTACAGAAAATTATACAAATAGAGCTGGATCATAGCGATCGAAAATAAAAAAGTAAAATGTACCAACTCCTTCGTTTGTTTTTGAAAGACCAAAACGCTTAGAAGCAATAAGCGTAGAAGCATAGAATTTCGTGTAAAAAAATCAAATTAGGTGATCCAAAACATTAGAGATGTTGATGAAGGCATGGTTTTGATGAATTTACTATAAGTAAAATCAAGTAACGAAGGGCTAAGGTCGGGTGTAACCGAACATTTTATATCTTGCAACTGATGGGGAAGTACCTTCTGCACAGCGATACATTGTTATTAGAAAAACAGGTTCTTTCAATTTCATTAAGATAACTCACATATTGACCGATATATGCGGTATAAAGTCATCCGAAAGTTCGAAAACCTTTCTCTTACATATATGAACTATTGATCCGATTACAGACATACTTTTATCAGAAAAAGATTATTTTCGAATCTACATAATATATCTTAGAGATTGACTAATGTTTTCAATAAAAAGTTCGCAATAAGAACAAGGGTCCACATATCCGATATTTGGGGGCTTAAAAAATTTTGCTCCGATGTAGGCAATTTTTATTCATAAGTTAGTACACCTCAAAGGTACTATTCGTGCAAACTTTAACTAAATCCATTGATTGCTATGGAAAGAGAAAGAATCATAATTTAAAATTGTGCTATATGAAAAGTAGGCGTGGCGTTTCTCTGATTTCGTCCACTTTCGCAATGTGCTGTAATCATATTAGAATAATATTACCCAAATTTGATTGAAATCGGTCGAGTAGATCCCGAGATATGGGGTTTCACCTAAATATGGGCGGTGCCACGCCCAGCGTCCTAATTTGACACCGGCTCTTATAAAACCCTCTCATACCATTCCGAGAGTAAAATTTTCTGTATATAGAGCTTTTAGTTATTGATTTATCGCACTTTTAGTAGTTTTTAACAAAACCGTTTATTGGGAGTGGGCGCGAATATCATCCAATTTCTTCTATTTTTATACTGTAGTAAAACGGGTTCAAATTGTTGGTCCTGTTTCAATTTGGGTGATATTTGTTTTGGAAGATATATAAGTTAAACTTATTAGGGGGTTTTCAAACCACAGGTGCCCCTCTTTAATGTGATTCGTTGTGCCAAATTTCATTTCTGTATCTTAATTTACGGCTTAGTTGTGTCACTTAATACATTTCCGATTAATGGCGTTTTGTGGGCGTGGCAGTGGAATCCTATTACTTTGAAGGGTAAAGCAAATATCTTTTGAAGTAGTTTTGTAAAATATAAAAATCACCGTACTTTTAAAACCATGTACTTGTAAGCACTTAAACGTAGTTTTTGCTAAGCTCCCAAGCATAGATCTGGATTGGTGTTTTCCAATGACAAGTGTAAAACTTACTCAGAATGGCACCAAACTGAACGTTAGTGGAAAATATGTTAGCAAATATGTACATACTTACATATGTACTTATAGATAAACAAAGTTTATTTTTTATAATTTTTTTTGTTTTACCACACTTATGGCTAAGTATATATATATGTGTGTATGTGTGTATATAAGCATGCACATTGGATTATCAACAGCTTAGCCGGGTAAACAGCCATGCAATTGAGCGAATTACTCACCGATTTTGCACCGATATACCGAACATTGAGCGTCAAACGCGAACATCGGTTGCCCACAAACGCCTATCGCATTTCGAGGTGAAGAGCAGCAAGTGGTTGCAGAACCATTGAAGCTGAGGTGCCAACTCCGTCAGCATTGTTTACAAGCCAAAGCCAAAGCCAGAGCCAAAGGTGTTTAAAAATAGTTTATGCAATAAATACGCGCACCACACCAACATACATATGTATATGTAAATACATATATATGTACATAGGTGTATAGTTATGTATATGTTTGTATGTAGAAGCAGCTGGATTTAAGCCCGAAAAATATACATTGCCGATATGTCAAGGCGTTTAATTAATTAAACCGCGAGTTATCAACTTTATGACGAAGGAATTTGCACTAAAATGCTGGCGGTTATACAACAATGCACCAACAACAACAAACGAACTTGTATGCAGTGTGTGACTGACTGAAAACGATCATATTTCGTCGTTCACATGTGCGCGATTATTCTGCCAGGCAGCGCGATGCGACGCTGAGCTTAAGCCAATATTTCAGAGGGAATACAATTTGATGACACGAGTAGTGCAATCCAGTAGGAAAGAAGTTCTGTTGGCGAGAAGACGCCACAAATAGCAAAAGGCGGTGTTTTATTTGATTTTTTATTTAACAGCGCGAGATTTTAACAAAAGTGAAATGGTAATTGTGTAATAAAAATATTATTGTAAATTAAAGTTAAGACAATATTGCAATCTATTCAATAGGCGAGAATGTTGTTCATATTGTGCGGGGCTTTGCTTTTGAATTTCGCCATGACGCAAGATTTCGAACCAGATCCATTGGAGCCGGAGATAATAGAAACGACTACGTTAAAGGCAAACACAGAGCCACCCACAACAACTAGTGTGCCCATCACAGATGCACCAACAACAACAACAATAATAACAACAACAAAAGAAACACCCATCTACACTACGCCCCCGATAACAACGGATGGTCTTCCCACTACCACCATTACTGTAACAGAGGAGACCATAACGCCAATAACAACAACAGCAGCAAGCCCTCCGCCTACCACGCCAAAGGAAGAGCCAATACCAACGCCTGTAACGAATATTGACTACACAACAACCACTACCACCACAACCACCACTGCTAAGCCGTTCTCCTTTAGTCCAACAACTGCTAAACCTTTCCCCTTTATTCCATCGACCACTACCACCATAACACCAGTGATCACGACCAGACAGACAGGTTATCCGCCGTATCGTCCAGTAAAACCATGGAATCCATATACGCCACCCACTCAACCGCCAAAACCCAGCTATCCACAAAGTCGCTGCTATTACCGCTCGCAACGTAGTTCACCGCATCTGCAATGGAAATGTGGCTGTAAGTAGCAAACTCCAAGTTCTAAAAGAACGTCCTCTATTTATTTTCTACGTTAACATGTGTTTGAATATTCATGCGACAATCTATTATATGTTATTACCATATGAGTCCATATGAGTGTCAAATACCAAATATGGCAAATTTTCTTAGTTTGTGAATTCTCAAAACTTTCTTAGACACGAATCATTCGGAATATGAAGTTGTATATCTAGTATGTGCTTGTGAGATTATTTAGATGTTATAGATAAATTGTGATGAATCATCAAACTAGGTAGAAAAACAAATTTTATTTAAACTTGACTAGTCTGAAAAGGCCTACTTTTATACCAATTACCAAAATACCTAAACAGGTTATATTAAGTTTGCCGCGAAGTTTGGTACAAAAAACGTCGGAGACCCTGTAATAAAGTAAAAAACGTGATGAGCTGATTCGATTGAGCCAATTCCGTCTGTCTGTCCGTCCGCCCGTTTGTCTGTTAATACCCGAACTTGTCTCTCAGTTTTTTAAGATTAGTCGGAATCGCCTATATTGAACCACTATAGCATATAGCTGCCATACAAACTGAAATATCTAAATCAAGTTCTTGTATAGTAACGTTTTTATTTGTGAAGAACCAGTATATTGAAACGAAATTTTTAAATTTTTGATTACAGAAAAACTTTCAAACATGAGATGAAAAAATAATTTAAATATTGTAGTTTTGCTGAATTTAAAATGGTATTATTAACCTAAGTTCCAAGAGTATAACTTATCGTCGAGCTTGAATATTTATTTTCATAGAAAACCCCAACTAAGATAAATTTCGTTTCAAAGTCCTTAATTGATTCTTTGATTGCAAGTCAATTGATGACAATGATATTAATGGTATTAGACAGTTTGGACAGTTAGCTCTAGTCGACATACAGAGTGGGAGTATAAGTTTTCAACATAATTAAACTTTGTATTCTAAAATATGCCTAAAAAAAAAACACAGATTTTGTAATATTTTGCAATATTTTGCTCAGTGGCAACTTTGTTCAAAAATATGCTCAACTCACAACCTACCCGCATACCTTCCACAAGAATTTCTTAAAATCAGTTTTATTTGGTTTTTCTCGTTTTTTTGCAATAAGGGACTGGTTTTCCAAAACACGTTTCTCTTTTATATTTCTGCTGTATACTAGTAATAGTATTTTCTTTACTTTGTTCGAAATTAGTAATTTTAATTGCTCAAGAACGATATTTATGTCAACAAACCTTATATAAATCTACAAGTATACCTTGGAAACTGATTAAGGTTAAAAATAGATATGAATATACTTCTGTTAAATATTAAAACTAATTAAAAAAATATGCCAAGCAATTTTGTAGCCTATAACTAATAATATTAACAAACAATTATACTTCCTTTTAAACAATTTTACATCTTTTAGACCAGGGTAGATAATTTTTGAAAACAAAAAAAATGCTTAGTAGAATAAAACCCAACGGAAGCGAAAGTTAAAATAGCAAGCATTAAGAGAAAAATTATGTTCAGGCGATCTGAATTCGGTAAAGGGGAGGAAAAGGGCTTGGCTGACTCGTAGTTTTGCCGGAAATCGAGATCGCTTTTGACCCCTAAAAATTCAATCACGCCGCTCTGCTTACTTTTCCCGACCACAGATTTCCAATGGGTCACAACCGACTATTAATTTTTTTCTTCCTTATAAATTAAGATCAGTAAACAAATATCACACAAATTTCGCATGAATTCATTGAATTTCTTAGGAAGACATAATATTTAAAATTTGTTCTTTTAACAACAACAACAAAAACCTTTTTAAACACAAACTTTCTAAGGAAATTTGTTTTAATCTCGCTGGTTCTTACACAATTAATTAGAGATTCTAAAAATTTATTCATGTTAGGAACCAAAATTGTGAAAATTAGACGGGTTTATGGAAGCCAACAGAAAATTTTAAGTACAGAGTTAGCACAAATGTTAATTAACAGATTACAGCTATACTATGGAGTTTCAGCATTCCTCGATATTATTACTATAAGTAGTTAGTTTTTATTTGCGTCCTTTCTATTCCTAAACCACTCTGTTACACCCTCAGATGTTTATATGTACCATATATTGCAACATGCAACAAAGCTTTAGAACTGTCATATGTACATAAAATATACTTAATAGCATGATGTATTCACTCTATTAGAGCAAATTATTCACTCATTAGCGCTTCTTTGACAATATGCTAGTCGATTTTTGAAAAGTGCTCCATACCGTTTAAATTATTTTACAACTCATATTACTTTCAAAACATCAATTCGATCATTAAATCGATTGTTAGCCCTGTCAATGGCGTAGTATAATTTAACAGAAATGCATTCTTATACACTCGCAACTATTTGCTACAGAGTATTATAGTTTAGTGTCAATATCACATTTGAGTTTGAGCTTGGCTTTAATATATATTATATGTACATTAGGGTGGAGCGAAATTTTTTATTTTATTTGTTTGCTTGGCCTTTGGGTGAAATGCCTTGATTATAAAAAAAAAAAATTTTGGACACAAGAAAAAACATCTAGAGACGGCGCGGCGCACTCAGTTTGATAGTAAATTTTCGTGCCGCCTCTAGATGTTAATAAAAAAATTTTTTGACCAAAAATTTTCTTTCTTTATAATCTGAAGATTTTACACCCAGGCTAAGCATAAAAAAAAAAATCGCTCCACCCTAATGTACATATGTATAAGTATTTTGGTTGTAATACATTCCGCCGGCTTTGATCCCAGCAAGTTGCAAGAGTATAACATGTTCGGTTACACCCGAACATAGCACTTCCTTACTTGTGTTTTTTTTTTAATATTATTCACTTATTCTCACTCCACAGATTGGCAATATGTAACGCATGAGCATTGCTATCGTTGTTGCCTCTACACCGATGTCAGCTATGCCGGTTGCAACGAAGTCAATCGCTATTACTGCACACAAACGCAACAACAAAAATTCAAAAATACGAATGCATACAGCAATTATTGGCTGTACTACTAATGGACAGATGCATGGACCCGTTTATATATACATACATATATATATATATATATATACAAATGTACCTTCTGCAATTGTAGTGCTGACTGTATGAATTTTATAGTGGAAATTGAAGCGAATTTAAGCACGTGGAACCTATTAAGTATCGGTCATACAGCTTTTGTGTATATTTTTTAAAATTTTTTTATACGATTTTTTCAATTTTATATGTAATGTTGTGCAATTTTTTCCATTATTTAATATTATATATGCTTGTATTTGTTCGTCAGTTTGTAAATAAAAATTGTATACGATTTAAAGCTGAAAATAAAACTTTAATAAATATTGAATGTCAATGACGATTACACAATTACAAATTGCCGCGCAACCAACTCGAATTTCATTACTAATGACAATGGCACAAAAACAATTAGCTACATAAGTATATATAACTACGCTTTAATTGAGATTATAGAAATTACCCAAGTGCAGGAAGCAGTCCTTTGCATGCTGTTGACACTGGCAAAAATCGGGGAAGGGCGGTGCCAACACCTCGTACATAATCTTTAGTAAGTCAATGAATTTATTCAGCGACTTTGAGTAGTCGCCGGCTTCGTAGAGACGCTTGGCGGTGCGTGTCATCAATTCGGTATCCTAAAAAATTTAAATTAAAATAAAATATAATAAAATTGAACAATGGTAATCAATAAAATTAAAAAGCAAAACAAAAACTTTATGCACGCGCACCTGCATCACTTTGAGGCCCTTCAAAATGTTAGTGCTCTCGCCGCAAGTCACGCATTTAATCATGAAATCATTGCACGTTGCCGGCACCTCAATTATTGCCCGACACTGTTTCGGCCCGTCGCAGCGGAAACGTATGATATCGGTCGGCATGTGTTCGAAGGTGGGCCAATTTTCCAGACACGGATCACAGGTGCAATCAAACCAGTACAGCTCTTTAAGTTGTGCCTGACGCTTTTCGCGCCCTTGCTGCGTATAAATGGGACCATAATTTTCAGCGATTTGCAGACCCGCCTCGATGGGCCGTATGGTGTTCACATGTATGGTAGTGCCGCGATGGTATCTACGATACAACAAAAAAATAAAATACTCTGTTTTTTTAATATGATCTGCATAATATCCACCTCACAACACCAGGGTCACAAGAGTGATTGAAGAGCGCCAAAGTCGGATATAATCCACCACCAATGAAGACCGTCTTCTCATTGCCATCAGCCTTCTTTGCATGCAATTCGGCCACTTCGTGTGTGTTGAATTGTATGAATTGCAAACTGCGCAATATTATGCCGCCAATAGTGATCAGATCTTCAGATTTAGGTGTTTCACCAAAGTAGCCAGCTTCTGCGAGACACTTGGTTAGAAAGCGTGCCATTAGTGTATGCTGGAAAATATTGGATGGTGGTCTCGATTTTTCGTGACGTTCCAGATGTGAGACGCGTCTATAGTCGTCGGAAGGTAGCCTGTGGTATACAAAATAATTATAAGTGTTAATAGCAGTATTCGCCCTTTTGGAGTAGTGAATCGAACTGTATACAATATCATAGATGACTAACGATGGCAAAATAGAGATTTACATACAGAAAACTTTCTATATATTTGAGTACTACTAATAGTGCTTATAAGGAGATGTTCCAGTTTAGGTAATAAATATAATAAGAACTACTGCTCTGAATCTAGTGTTTTCTCTAGATATGAACGGACGGATCTAAAAACAGGAGAAACATATTTATGGGTTTGGTACCAACTGTCTATTATAATTCGCATTTAATCGTCGTTTCTCAAGCCAAGGTTCCTATCTCAACATATGGCGAAATAGTGTCAAAGATATGTGGAAGATGTCTTCGGCAGAAAGCAAATCTGGTTGTATATTAAACAAATATATCTGTCTTTACGGTTTTGTCGCGTTTCAATAAAGATTAAATCTGGTCCTGGTAAGTTTCAGATTGGTTGTCATCGAAGTCATCTTATGTTACCGTAGGCCCAGGAAACGTGCTGTTTCGACGGGGTCGAGTTTCTGCGACAGCTTGGCGGGGAGTATATTATATTACTTGACCGGAAGCATGCACTCGATGTAAATGTTCAACAGGCGACATAAAGAGGCATTATGTAATCGTCCGGAGTTCAGTATTTTGTAACGTCTGAAGCATCTGCGTTTCACTACATTCATTATTCTGGTCTTATTCCTTTATATATGCTAAATTCAATAGCCTGCTGATTCTGATGTCGTCTATAAGGGCTCATGGTTATGGTAATTTTTAATAAACCAAAAAATATTTTAAATAAACTAATTATAAATCCTACTTCGACACTATGTATATATAAAAACAACCTGAAAATACTTACTTCAGTATTTCATCCAGAGGTAAATCCTTTTCGATATCATCTTTAATTTTTAAGTAATATTCCAAAGGCTTATTGGCAAGAATACGCAAAGCCATATGACAATTAATTGAGGCGCCGGAACGCCAAATTGTAGGCAAGAGACCACATTCGTATTTATGATAAGTGGAACTGGCTTTGGATAAACATTCCTCGGAGCAGTAGAGCACATCAGCACACTTTGGACAAGCGACTGGTATGGCGGTTCTGAAAGTAAGAATAATAAACATTAAAACGCTATATATTATATTAAAGAATATATCGAATAAAAATTACCTAATAAAACAATTATCGCAATGTGTTTTGGAGAATTTCTCCAATAGCACCGCCACAAATGGTTTTTCCACCAATATCTCCTCACCCACAGTAATATCAGTAGCGGCACGCGCAAAACGACCCTCTGAGGGATTCTGATCGAAGCGCACATTGTCGCTGAGAAACTCCTTCTCATCGGGTATCGCCATTGTCAACTTAGCTTCACCGAACTTCTGCTGCTTAGCCGCTTGCTTAGCGGTTAACGGATCTCTTTCCAGCATTTTTATCATAGTCATAGCATCCAAGCTCAGTTTGCTGCGTCTATCCGAAGGCACTTTGGCATCATCCAAAGCAGTAATGCATTTTCTACAATTGAAATATAGATATTTTACAAAGGTAGTTTTTTAAATGTGTGTATGCATCTCACTTGAAAGAAGCTATAGTACTGTTGTAGGCTTTCTTTACCATATAGCAACGCGCCTGACGCTCGTACAGCTTGTAGATGAGATCCTTTGGATAACCCAAATCGATGGAGCGCTGAACATCAATCAGAGTCTCATCATATTTCTCCATGTGAAAGAGAGTGGCAGAGCGATTAGCCAAGATGATGCCGCGTTCACTCACTAACAAGGTATTAAAGTAGTTTCAATAAAATATAATTAATAAATCTTATATGTAAAACACTCACCTTTGTCCTCTGGCAAGGCCATATAACTTTTTGTATAGAAAAGCATCGCTTCAAACCAATTTTTAGCTTTGAATGCCTGATTACCCTTCTCCTTGAGTTGAGCTGCAGTGTCGACATTTTTACCAGCGAACTCCCTTTTAACTTGCAGTTGCCCATCATGCTCACGTATACCGGGAAATTGTTCGACAAATATCAGCCGCTCGTAATCGTTGCAACATGCAGCTATCTTACCAATCTGCACATCAAAAACGTCCGATTGCGAGTTTTTCAGGTTAAGATAGTATTCAGGGAAAAAGCCGGTTTTCTCAACCAAAGTCATTTTTACTAAAGTATCTGCTTGGGTTTGGTATTGATTTTTTTGAGAAAAATATTTAACAATTTAGTTTAGTATATATAAATATATTTATGTAAAATATTTTCAATATTCTTAATATAAATTGTAGAAGTTTTCTTTCACAAAACTGCAGCCAAACTGAAAATGTGGAAAATCTGCCCGTAACGTGGTGTTTCAGTATCTGTAGTCGAAATATATTTTTAGACTTGCTAAGAGCATTCTGTCGAAACGAAGAGAAAGTCGTCTATGCTCAGAGAAAGCTTTGCTGTTCTTTACTTATGTTCAAATAGTAAAATTGTTTTGTTTACAAACAAAAATTGCCGCGAAAAGATAATGCACTAGGTGGTATCAGAATAAAGATATTAAGAGTGTAGAAAGAAAATGGTCAAAATTACATGTGTATCTTTAGTTTGTTTTCTTCGATATCCTCTCAACACTTTCATGCCGTTTCGGAAGGCAAATACAGCCGGCGTAGCGAAAGATATATCGAACATTAGGAGCACTTCGTTAATCATGTGTTGGAATTTTAATTGAAGTAAGAGCTTAGAAAGTTATATAAAGATAGTCGCACCTCTTGTAAAATGGAATGGATTAAAGCTTGTACTCTTTAAAATCGCGATTTTTTTGACATGTGGTTTTTAATGAGGCAATCCTTGCTTCGGAGTTGGTCTTGTTGGCAGCTGATTTATACTTTACTTATACTTGATTAATATTTAGTTTGGTTTGCCATTTGATAATGAACAGACTTACCCCGGAACAACGTTAGCTAATCGTGCAATATTCGGTCGACATAATCGCCCAGCAGAGTCGGTAAATCCATGGATCGGTTGCGCACCACGCTACCTCTAGTGGCTAATTTGCATACCCAGGGATACCGTAAAATGCGTACCGAAGAAGACCTGAATGAGTCCATTCGCCATCGCGCGCGACAATTGGAGCTGTGTCCATCTACTTTATGGAAGATTTTGCGAAACTGAAGCCGAATAACCATCAAACGCGTCGCACGTCCGGTGAATGCGCCCAAAACGAGGTGGCCACCTATCCTGATTATCACAAGAAAAGTTTGTTCAAGATGAAGTTCACTTGTTGAATGAATCCGTTATAAAATTGTCTCATTTGGAGTAATGATAATCCACATGCCATTGTTGAGACGTCGTTACATCCACAAAAAGACATTGTTTGGTCTGCTCTATTTTTCAAATTTCTTCAAAAATGAAGCCGTTCATAACATAATGTTGCCGTCAATGGGGCTTTTGGTTAGCGCATTATCCCGTGACATGGCTCTGTTGCGTAGTCTCCAAGATCGTACGTTTTATCATCGCTGGACTATTTTGGGGGGTTATGTGAAATCGTGATAAGCCTGAAATAATAGACGTTTTGGAAGAGAATATTCGGCACGTTATTGCTAACATACGGCCCTAATCGCTACATAAAGATGTCGAAAATTAAAGCTCTCGGTTGGAATCGAGCCGCAGCGGCTGCGGTCACTTGCTCGAAATAATTTTCAGGGCATAATGGCAAAACCCTTTCTTAATAATAAATCTAAATTCATGCCAAAAAAAAATCCGTTTATAAACAAACATGTCACACATGGGAAAATTAGTTAGGTCCAATATTTGCCAAAGCGGAAATACTAATTTCAAATATTTGAACTGCGATAATTCAAGCACTAAACCGTTTTTTTAAGGCTTGATTAATTTATACCGGAAAAATTGGACCTCTTCGAGCATTAGATCCATAAAATTTGATAACTAATTAAGCTAAATATTGGTAATTCTTTTAAATTGTCAGAGTTATATTTAAAACTCAAGTTCTGTACCTCCAAATTATGTAAATTATGTATATACATATGTATGACTATGGAAGCCTGGGATCCGATGAATCAAGCATAACCAAAGCATCTCTAGATCTGATCTGAGTATTTTTCAGTATACGATAAAGGTCTCTAGGATTCAGGAATATACATATTTCAGCAAGAAAAGGACTGAAAACCTTTTAAATATATATGTATTTCAAAAATTAATACACATATATAAGTACAGTCGGATGCACCCAGTCGAATTCAACGAACACTGACCCTTTGGAAAATTTTGTCTAGCACTGTATAACTTTGATTGTCCCTGAGCGTTATTTTCAAACGAGATGTGTCGACTACTCTAGCCAAGTGACCTAACATATTCTTATATATCTTGATGAATTTTGCAATAAAAAACATAATAATAAGAGATATCCGCACAATCAGAACATTACCAATAATACAAAAAGAGTATATTAGCCAAAAATAAAAGTGGAATTATAATTGCGGAAATAAAAATTAGACGGATTGTCTGATCATCTCAAAAGAAAGCAACATTTTATAAATATCAGCGCTCTCTATTGGACAATTTCGGTAAATATGGTGACAATTGCGCCATCTAGCGCAAGCAACTCGCTAGCAGAAACCGAAAGGTTGGATTATTCGAAAAGCAGTCAAGCCGATGAAGAGTGTTGTGAATATAGTTAAAAGTGCCCAAAAGGGCATTTATTATGGCTCAAGAGATTGAATGAGAATTTTTCTAAAGAATTAATCTTTATAATAGATATGTATGTAAAAAATAATTTTTGAAAATTATTAATTAACTGCTTTTAATATAGTATATCTCACATATGCCCGAAAAAGTTTTAATATGGATATTAATATAATCATTATTTGAAACCGAAGATGTTTTATAATTTATTCTAAAAGCTTTGGAAATGTCAAAAAAGGATGTTTATATTATTATTGTAAACGGTATATTAGTTTTAATCCAAATACGATTTAAAGAAAATTTTGCCTCCGAAGCACCACTTTTTTATTAGCAGACATCATATTAAGCTCTTAGAACTTTTATGACGTATAACTTATACATGCATACACCTAAATTCATATACCTATGCAATTTGACATTGATATTCACTTTAGGCAAATGAGGAACAGTGACTCATATTGGACATTTAACTGCTGATAGCAACAACTAGAAGCTTTCGAAATGTTTAAACTTCTTCCAGCTCTTGCGAAATTTCTATTATAGGCCACAGTAAGATAATTTTTAGCGCCAACACCCATACACGCATACACATACACATGTTCTTCTCCACATATGGCGCTGCTATTTTGGCGCAATCAGCCCCAAGCGCCTCTTTAGCTCAGTGGCAGAGCACTGGTCTTGTAAACCAGGGGTCGTGAGTTCAATCCTCACAGGAGGCAAATATACTAATATTTTTAGGCTAATTATTTTATACATATTGTACATTCGAGAGTGCATATACTTGTATGTAGAAATTATGGGCAATAAAAAGTTAAATGGGGGTCACTTGTACTTAAAGAGAAAATATTTACAAAAATATAATATAATAACTGCACAAGAGTACTTAATTGTTCTAGGCTAAAAATATAACTCTATACTATGTAAGTTGGACTATTAACTGGCTGCCTTTGACGTTTAACTTACTAAATTCTTCCCAGTTCTAATATTTCGAAGTTGAATTTTAGAAATATATTATTTTTGTTTTTTATTCTTTGATTAATTAAATATATAGGTACATTAAGAGGCAAATTTCGCCCCGACAGCTTTTAATACTAATGCATACTTCGTTTGAAATGTTTTACTCACCTACCACCCGATCCTTTGCCTTCATACATACAATCTACATATATGTATATGTATGTATGTCACAGACACTTTGATTTATGATTATTATTACTGCACGCATTTTAATATTTTTCGCGAATTTCGCAAAACCCCTTTTCTATTGTACTGAGCTCTTAGCAACCCTTCTGTATTATAACAATATAAAGGTGAAAATAATTGTAAGGGGTTGGTTGCAAACATTTAGATTAATTACGCGCGTTTTGACTTTTGAATAATAAATTGAAAATCCCGTTAATGAGGCTATTATTTTGTAAAGGGTTTAGCATTACTGGGCAGATAAGAATCATAATAAAAAGTCCATGAATAATCGCGAAATGAAATGAATATTGTTAAAATGGCACTCTAAGTTAATATTTTGTGCTATATTAAACATGTGTACATATGTACATATATTGTGAATCAAATATTTAGATCTAATAAATCTAAAAAGTAAAGAACTTACTTATATCAATGCCTCCTGTGAGGATTGAACTCACGACCCCTGGTTTACAAGACCAGTGCTCTGCCACTGAGCTAAAGAGGCTTACTTATTTTCAAAAATTATTTTTCCCAATATTTTTAAATGTTAGCAAATAAAAGTGGAGTTTAGAATATATATTTAGCAAATATACAAAAAGCTAAGAAATTGTTTATCAAAATTCATTAAATGAAAAAACATTGCTATGTTTTGATAACACCAAGAACATATGTACCGTATGGAAGCATAAATAGAAGTGTTGAAGATAACAGGCGAGAGAAATCATGTAATATTTCCCATAGTCGTTTAGGTGTAAAAAAGTAAAACAATTTTCTATGGAATATAAAAAAATGTATCAAAAGTTTTTTCCTGAACTCGAACAGGAAGTGTACAGATTAGACAATATTAGAAATAATAACACTGGTAAACAAAATGCAACTTTTTTTTATGAATTTTATAAACTGTTTCTTACTAATTTGACGTCGCTGATTTCAAATCTACTCTCTCAGTTTCTTTCTAGCAACTCTAATTTTAGTGATGCGGTACTTCTTGAAATATCGTCACACAACTTACTTAAATTAATTTGTGGAACAAAAAATTACTAAACTTCATAAATAAACCGATATGTCTACATTAACTTGTTTAAATAATCCGAATAGTTTTTTGTTTTTACTGACTATATGTTCATAGAATGTCATTTAAATGCGTCTGATTCTATAAAAAAGACCTATTTGGACTACTTTTGGTAAAAAATACATAGACCATAACTGGCTGATATACGTCGATCTTAAAGCGGTACATTTTCTTCTGGGTCAACACCCTGTTTCATGTGCTTATGGGATAGCTAAGATAAGACAGAACACTGAACTAAAAAAGTTTGGCCTTTGAGAGTGAATTTAGTACCTGGTAGTATGAATGCGATGAATGCTTCTTCCAAGATCCAGAGCGATAAAGTTAGGTCTGATAACACAGTTTGTAAAAGCTCTAATAACTCATTTAGACAGCTTCCCAGAAAATTTTGGCGACTTAAGCAAAGAACAAGAAAAATACTTTATAATAATATTCGCACTATGGAAGAGCGATACGAGGGTCGTTTAAATGCAAATATGATGGCTGATTACTGCCAGAGAATTCAAAACAAGTCTGATCTTTCTACTCATGCAAGAAAAGCACAAAAAAAATTTTTTTAATGCTAAAGATGTAGTATTTTTGGCTAAAATGTAATTTGTTCATATTTCGAAAACCAGAGCTGCTAGTGAAAAACTAATTACAGATTTGGAATAAACGTGGCAGAATCATACGAAATCGGGTACGAAACTTCATATAGCAAAACTACTGTTTCTCAGCGTTATTTGATAAAAAAAAAACATTAATGTTAAATTTTTCAGGAGCGAATTTTATTCAAATTTTGTCAAATTATTAAAATTATGATTATTCTACAGTAATATCACATAGATTGTTTTAATTTCATAATGTTATTTTATTTTTTGGGAAATATTGTAATCAACACTTTGTTGCGCCTCCTTTTGCCTTAATCACCACCATAATCCTTGCTGGCATTATACAATAACCTTTTACAGTAATCCGACCTCCATGTCATCATACCACGTCTTCAAAAGGACGGAATTAAGTAAGAGCAATATATTTTTTAATGCTAAAGATGTAGTATTTTTGACTAGAATGTAATTTTTTCATATTTTCGAAAACAGACATTCTCCGCTATACCGTTCACCTGACCTTCTCCATACATGGTGAACACCATCTGATATGAAGATATTAAACACTTTGATTAATTCGAGAAAATTATAGTCTGTCACTGTTCCACCGACCATTTTACAAGCACTTTCGCCGCTTTCATACCGCTGTTTCATCATTCGTTGGCTCGAAAATTTTTTTATACTTTTTCTTTTTGCAGAACGTCGGCCGTTGAATACCACCACTCTGTGTCCCTGGCGAACCGTTGATGCATTTACTATCACTCCCATCGCATCCGTTAATGTCTAATAAGAATTTAAAGCGATTCAGTAGACCGTCGGATGAGCCTGTCCTGAGTGACTGTCGCCTTTCGGACCGGCACTGTCAGACCCATTTTTCCAGGCAAACAAACCCGAACAACGAACAAATGTTCTTTTTTAGTTAAGATGACTTTAGATTGAATACCGAAAAGTATTGAAATTGCAACATTTTTTACTTTTAATTTCAAACAAGTTATTCCGATTGCGAACAATTTTATTGATTATACCTGATTACAAAATTAAATAGAACTGGAAATCTCAATAAAATAGAGACATTTTTCGAATATTTAAATAATAAAGTAAATCAATATTAAATTCAAGCCTCCGAAAGCTTTATTTAATTTATGCTATATATTCTTGCAAACACACCTTGGAAAATTTTAATAATTTTAGTCGTATGACTCAATTACAAAATCTACATCAGCTCGCTTTACACCATCAGTTTCCCAACGGGTTTGTATTTCATAAGATCCAAGGGGCAATGGTATAAAACTGGACAATTTATCATCGATAAAAAATCGATCTAAAATAATATCGTGCTGGAAGAAAATTAATTGAATATTTAAGTTTTTAAATATAATCGGTCAAATGTTTTCGATACGTACATCATAAGGACAAGAGTGATTTGCATTACTGTGACTTTTAAGACCCAAAAAATTGTAGAAAATGTCAGCCAACGGATTGCGACGTTTGTTGCGAAGGAAAGCGCAACCGTCAATGTTATACTCATAAATCGGACGACTGCGATAGTCATTTCGCTTCTTCAGTTGTAAAAATATCTTTTAAGGGTCTCAAATTGATTAATATATTCAAACTAAATATAAAACTACACTTGTCAACACACCTTCACATTATTGATAGGCACTTGCAGCAACTTTACGTAAATCGATAACTCATTGGTGTTTCGTCTTACGGCTTTCAGGCGACACGTTTTGAATTTGGCAAACAATTCGTCCGGCGAGTGACATTTTACATTTGTCATTTTAAATTTCTACATATTTAAAAAAGACATATTATAGCTCATTACAACATTGTAGGCATTGAAAACTTACACTTTCTGCACACCCAATTTTAATTGCAACAAGAAACAGCAAGAAACTTGTTTTCGAAAATATCAACATTTTTCGCACACGGAACCGAGTTGAATGCAGGATGCGACTCAAATGAGTTTTAAATTACTTTTATTGGAGCTAAATGCGGTAACATATGTATATATGTATATGTAATTAATATTATCAAATATCAATAAATGTTGATGACGTTGAATTAAATATCATAATAGATCAATTAAAAGGTAGTTAATTACCAAAATATTGCAAATACTAGACCGTTGTACTCATAATTGTTTATATAAATGTGCCTTTGTTATAAATATGAGAGCGAACCCAGTGTATCGTATGTACCATACATTAAAACAAGAAAAAACGATAAACTCGTTTGCGCCGAAGCTATAATACCCTTCACAAATAAAGAAGTTTCCCATACAATATTTTGAATGTTTGGTTTGTCGGGTAGCTATATGTTTTAGACAATAAACCGTGCCAAATTTTGCGAAGATATCTTGACAAACAAAAAGTTTTGCATACAACGACTTGATTTTAATCGATCAGTTTGTATGACAGCTATATACCATAGTCCGATACCGGCGGTTTCGAAAAGAGAGCAGCTTCTTGATAAGTAAAGGACGCGTACAAAATTTTATAGCAATACAAGTTGTTCAAAAACTGAGGGACTAGTTTGCGTATATACAGACTGACAAACGAGCAGACAGACTGGCATTGCTAAATTTACTCAGCACATCACGAAGATTTTACATATTTTATAGGGTCTCCGCTGTTTCTTTTTGAGTGTTACAAACTTCGTGGAAAAATAAATATACCCTGTTCAGGGTATAAAAAATTTGGTGACCATATACATGGCAACATATTCGTAATGCTTGCTTAACTCAGCGACCCGATATTTAACTATTTCAAACGAAGGAGCAAATTGTAGTAAGTGAAGAGTTTGATTCTTATGTAATACCAGTTGTCTTTGATTCGTCAAGTGTTAGAGAGTAGCGAATCGAACAAACTTTACAAGCTGTTCAAATTGACTGGGAAATAACCATATCAAACATTCGTGCTCCTAATCTTTGTAATAATAATATTTCGAAGAAATTTTGAAATTTAAAATAGATCTGTTCAGATACATGCGTTATGCCTCCTGTGAGGATTGAACTCACGACCCCTGGTTTACAAGACCAGTGCTCTGCCACTGAGCTAAAGAGGCGCCTAATTAAATTTAAATCAATAGCCAAATATGATTTGATATCTAATTGCAACATTTAATCAATTCAAAAATCATTTGAAGTTCGAAGCTGCTGTATTCAAATACCATGTATGTACAAATAGTTTTCGCGTTAAGTTAACTAAAAAAGATACATATTAATATGTTTATTGAAAGTATTTTGAAGTGAAGAATTTGAATTTGACGATAAATGTTCCAATTTGTAGAATCCTTTGCAAATAGGACACCGATTGTTACAGATCTTTTTAAACAATGCCAGCTCAGAGATGTGCGCTATTACACTCAAATTTCACTTAACTGCATTGCCTAACTACTTGCTAAGCTAGCTGATCATATAAAAGATCTTACAAGTTTAATCGTTTTAAAGAAGATCCACTATAAAAAACTTTAACGCAGTGTTTTGCCTCCTGTGAGGTTTGAACTCACGACCCCTGGTTTACGAGACCAGTGCTCTACCACTGAGCTAAAGAGGCTCCTAAAAAGCTCTCATCCACTTCAAAGGTTTCAAGAAATCAACTTCAACTTTGTATATTAAATTTTTTAGTTATATAGGTCAGTAATTTTAGTGATATCTTGTACTAAATTGTATGTAGACAAATAACTGAGAAGTAAAATACTGCAGTTCATTATTTAATTGAACCCAAGCAGTAATAAAACGGTGCTTAAATACGACAGTTTGCGATACTAGTTGCTTATTAGATTTATACTAGTAATCATTATGAAAGGTATAGTTAGTTATAGATAACTTTTAGCAAAGACTTTATAAAGATTTGGAAGAATACTGGAGTAAAATTGGTATGTCTTTTAACTTGAATGATCCAGTATTTTATGGATAGAAAAAGATCGACTGTTGAAACTGTAAAGCCGATAAACATACAAGAAAGGACAAGCAGGTGTTCCTCTGACTTCGTGTATTCGGGCGTTTGAGCTATGGGACTCCCGCGAGCTCAGCCAACGTTGGTCAGCAAGCAGCACTTTTGGGTTTTCGAAAGCCTTCTGGCCTAGGGTGGAACTTAAAAAGTACATAGAGCTACTAGCTGTTAGCAAAGTTCACATCCCGCAGTGATAGGTGTCACGCGGTATGGCTAAGGACTTAAGATGACGCAACTTGTCAAAGTTGCAGGGAGGAAGATGAGGTGGAAACATCTCGATACTTTCTCCTTCACTGTTCAGCTTTCGCCAGACCAAAATTGAAGCATCTTAGTTACCATACTTTCTACGAAACCGGCGAATTGTCGCTTTGTCGATATGCGACGGTCTTTTTTGACGGACAGGCGTCTCTAGCTATCCAAGTGGGATTATAGTAGTAGTCTCTAACCTAACCTAACTGATGGCAACACAGAGGTCAAACTCTGACCCATAGCCATCGGAAAGCTCGATTTGGAGGGAAAAACCTTATAGTAAATATATATTATTCTGGAAATTATAACAGTTTAAACTCGTATTTACTCGACAACCCGAACGTAGTATAACAAGTTTAAATCTCCTCAAACTCGCTTATTTAATAATATTATTTTAACAGGATCTGAGTTGAAACAGCATGTTCCATTGAGCTTACATTAAATGCCAACAATAACAACAAGAATTAAAACATTGTCGTTATTGTCAATAGAACCGGATCGCCATGTTACATGCGTACAAATACGTCAATAGCTTAGGTGCTTATCTTGTGAGCGCTAAACCAGTGGTACCACATCTAGACCTCTTACTTCTTTATCAATCATCCGGACTCTCAGTCTGTAGCACATACAGATATTCGCTTATTCATGGTCATACCTTAGAGCTATTGAACCCAAAATTTCGAATTTATAGCAGAAGAAGTCTGGATATACCATATACGCAAAGTTGGTTATGGACTGGAGAATTACTAGATGATAGTATAAATTTTTGATCGATATTAGCAGAGAAACTTAAAACAGAACATACATAACTCTCTAACCGAGAAGATGTTAGTCCTCAATTCAAATTTTTCCAATTTTTCTAATGAGTGTCCAATACAAGTGACCGGTGCTTTCGATTAGTTACACATTGAGAATAACACTAGTTAATTACTTTCATTTTTTAAATCCTATTCCGAACATAACGAATTGACACAGTCTCAACAAAGTTAATGTTTATGAAGAACGGATTTAAAATACATACGAATAGGTATATACTAATTAAGTAAGGTAGGGGTTGATGCCTCCTGTGAGGATTGAAGTCACGACCCCTGGTTTACAAGACCAGTGCTCTGCCACAGAGCTTAACAGGCGCACCAATGTATAGTGTTGTATAAAAAACCTAATTTTTTTAATTTTTATAAAAAAATATTTTATTTATCATTTCTAATTGGTGTAAAAGCAATTTCATATCATCATAGGCTTGTATTATATGTGTATATCTCATTGTCATAATTCTAGAAAACTTCTAAAACTTCACTCTACTTCAACAGCTTTTCATTGTAAGCTTCAAATAATATATAGAAAGAAAAGCACTCTAGACTTAAAACAACGTCTCTAGAATTATTTATTAATTTATTTAAAAATCACATGCCGACAGTCCATAAATTATTTCCTCATACATACATGTATGTATATACTTTTATATTTTTTTTAGATTTAACGACAGCAAATCTACACTATATCAAATTGTCTTTCGCGTTCAATCTGTTGCATTCAAGTCATTCACATTGCACTGTTCTTGACTCTCCTGCAGCTCGTTACTAGTTTGCATGTCGTGTATGGCGAATGGTCGCGGTATGCCCTCCTGTGACTCTCGTTTCGGTGTGCTCCATGTAAATTTGGAAAAGCTTACGTTTATTTTGCCACCACTTCGCATGCTTGCCCAGGGTCGCACCACTGGCGTGCCAATACGCTGTCCCGTTATGTTGGTGTTGTTGATGGTTGCCGACGGTGTTGACATTTGAGGTGTTGCCTGTGATTTCGAATGTGTTTCCTTACGAACACCTACCATTAACGCTTCACGACGCGCATTCTCCTGAAACTGCTTGACGCGCTCTCTCATTGCCGTTTCGCGTTTTACCTCTTTGTCGATTTCCGTACGCCGCTTTTGCTCAAACCGCTCAACAACTAGCTTATCACGCTCTTTATTACGCTCTACAATTAAATCGGAAATTTCTAAACGTTTTTGCTTCAATTCGTCTTTGGAGAGCTTTTGAAAAACTTCTGGCCAGATGCCTTTCTGCTTTTTAACGAGCACAATACGCGCTTCATTCTTGAAAATGCGACAAAAACTGGTTACCTCGTCGATCTCGTGCACCAGATGGCGTTCGAAAAATATTGGTGGATTATTGAATTTGATATATTGTGGCAATAGGATCACATCCGGTTTGCGCGTTATGAGCCGATTCAATTCGATAATTATTTTGATATCTTCTTCGGTTTGTGTTACTTGCACCATGGCTGTTGGTTTATAGGCAACTGTGTATAGACCGCAAAGTTATTTTTCTGTTGTCTCAACAAATGTTGACCTCTGTCTGATCTAGGCGAAATCGAAGTGAATAAAAATTGTATTTTCATTGATTGCTGTCGCTCGATTTGGATTTGTTTTTGACTTCCGTGTTTGTTTTATACATCAAAATATTGTATCAATATCAATATTTATTTACCTTTTCTTACAATACCTGTCTACCGCATTCGATAGATTTATCGACCAAACAATACAGTTGATAGCTTTTCGTCCTGCTTGGTCGCTTGAGCAGCGAAATGACGACCACCGCTTTGCATAAAAGTTTATGCAAGTAAACACTTACATACTTATAATAATATCAACAAGGAGGTGGTTCAACAATATATCCGAGAATGTATGATTGTATGTTATTAAGAGATACATACACCATATTTAGCATGAGAGCGTTTTGAACGTATTTTAAATCGTAAGTAGTAGTTTATACTACAAAACTTTAATTAAAAAGAAAAAACAATAAAACGTTAACTTCAGCTACACTGAAGCGATAATACCCTTTACATGTTCAAGTTTCCCTTAAAAGAACTTGATTTTGATAGGTTAGTTTGTCTGGCAGCTATAAGCTATAGTTGCCCGATCTGAACAATATGTACCGTTACCTTGGACAACAGTTCATGCGAAATTTCATTTAGATATTTTTCCAAATAAAAAAGCTTTTCATATAAGAACTTAATTTTGAGAAAAGGATCGACATCTCAAACACTGTGGGACCACTTCGCATTAGTAGATGGCGATATTGCCTTCAATTGAATATTAATTTTCAGAATGATGTATGTATACTCGTATACTACATATATGGATTATCACATCTTCACTGTTTATGGTTTAGTTGTATTTTTTAGAGACATATATGTATATGTATATGAACCAAAAATGTTTAAAAATTATACATCGTCGTCTACTAGGCGTTAGTATTGTCGGTCCTATTATAATATAAGACTGAATAACTTTCAGTTCTACTTCTGACATTTTTTTTTTTAATATTCACGAAAAATTGTGAATAATCTTAATAATTCAGTTTCGGCTCAGTCTGATTATGCCGTACCGAGTTAGGAATATACTTTTTTGAAAGTATTCTGAATTTTGTTAGATTTTTTTCAAATCTGTCACAAGAAAACTAAATATAACTACCACTAATTGCGTCAGACTTAATCTAAAAAAAAAAGAAAATATTTGGATTTCTACATATGTTTTATATATGAGATCTCACTATTACAAAATTGTATATATAAAATATATATTAATTTATGGAAAGTAATTTTAGTACCACCCCTTAAGCGAAGAAAGAGTAAATATACAAATAATCGTCGATACATGGAAATCAAAGGTAATTGCGGTACTGTGCCAAAAGTGTTGTTTGCATAACTATGCTAATCAAGCATTACCATCTTGCACATTACATTTTGCAACTATTCTTATAATTATGACCTGCTAGAAAATAAAGCTTAACTTGCTATAATTAGGTTAGGTTTGCTGCTCCTCTAGTTGGAAATCCCACTTAGACTGCTACAGGCAAATTTTTTGAGAAACTAGAAGCCTTATGTATTTGGGTCACAAATCGCAAATCTGTTTAAGTATTTTAACACTCCTCTTACTAGTTCAGGAACGCTGAAGTTATGAGTTCTAAGTAGTTTTAACACTGATCTCGCACAGGTGGGAAAATCAAAAAGGAAGGGTTCAAATAATTCTATCTCGTCTCCTTTTAAATAAATTTGTGTAACAAGCAAGCGCTTAGATTTTTAAGATTAATTGTCTTCAAAAGCTTACTTGGAAAATTTCTATTTAATTTTTTGACGACTATTAGAATAGCCTTCAAGAATGTTTTTAAACTCTTCTCTTATTTTTCCAATAGGGTATATCTACCTATATTTACTTATTGAAGCAAATAGTAATAAACAATAAAGAGTCTATGCAAACAAATATGCTTTATGTGGAAATGGGGTTTATGGAAAATAAATAAGTCATTAGTTGAAATAAAAGAGAGTAAAGGAAATAATTAACTATGTAGCAAGTGTAATTTCATCCAACAAGCGGTACACTTACGATTCTACTGAATATACACCATTACTTTCTTCCATCAATGCCCTATTTATTTTTAGAAACACGCATCTAATTTTTTTAAATATCTAGTATACTGACTGTAAGCACATACATATGTAGACCAAGTGTATATCAATATACTTGAAATAATGGGATATATGAATATATTTTTATATATTTTATTACAACATCCCAAATGTTTTTTCCTATATACCGGCTAAGTTAGGGTTCCTCTCTAATGTTGGAATGTTCATTCGTTCGTTAAATTCGTTCTATAGATATAATGTATCGGGATAAATATGAACCGATTTCGCTAATTTTTCGAGTTTTTTTGCTACCTATCAGGTTTATCAATCGTATAAATTTTTGTTTCGATATTTTCCTAACACGTCTATCAAGATGAAATAGATATATTCTGCAACGTTTAAATTAAAAAAACAAAAACCACACGAATATAGTTAAGGGCTCTTTATGATCCTCTAAACTTATTTTTAGGATTTTATTATCTCTTCACTTACTAGTTAAAAAATTAATTTTACTCAACTCATATTAGTACAGGCAACTCACTCACTATCGATTTCATTGAGTGGTTAAAGGAAAATCTATGGCTACTGTACTGCCAATTAGCTTGCCAGGAAGTTTGTATTAAAAGTACCTCAGTACTTTGTTTGACAGTCTCACTTTGATGAGCACGTTTACTCTCATTCTTTTAGACATGCAAGATAATTCTCTGGGATTGAAATCAAATAAATAGAAATCCAAATTAATAAAAAAATGTATGTATTCAAAATGGTTTTTCGATATATGAAGGTTTATTACGTTGTCAAAAGAAGGTCAAAACTGTAAATATCCAAATATGACCAACAAACTTGGGATCAGCTACCAAGATCTAACCTAATTTAATCTAGCAAGCCACAACACCTATGTTGTTAAATATGATAAGGATATTTAAGTTTCTTAAGCCTCAATTCTTATTCATTCAAAGTTTTAGAGGATTTAAAACTAAATTCAAAGAGGCATCTTTCAGGGTTCCGTATTTTCGTACCATAATAATGTCTCATCAATTTTATAAGAATATGTTTATGCGTATTCAAAAAACAACAACACTACTAAACAAAATTTCAAATTTGTAATGAGCAGCACAGAACAAAGTGTGTAGTTGACTCAGATGTGTCTTATTTTCAAAAAAAAAGTAAAATCAAATACATCAAGGTATTCATGATGATTAATTGAATTATTACAACGGCGAAAAACCGGTTCTTTGACTTGACGTATAACCCAAATTTAACAAATGTTTCAGTTTTGATATCGCAACTTTTCTTTGCAACAACTGGCAACTGAACCCTTAAACCAGTCACATAAATCAAACATATATCCACAGCTCGAGTAAGACACGTGTCCTGCTTCAGCCGTACAAATGATTGTCAGCCATTTGTGTTACAAAAGTTGCACATGCGAACACGACATATGGAAAAGTAAGTGAATAAGCGTGTAAAGAACATTTGTCATAAATTTATTGCGTCCAACAAGCAGATGTATGTATGTAGGTATATATGTACAGTTGTGGATGCATCATGTAAAACTATGTAGTGGAAATGCTGACACTTTGCGCTTGTAAAACGTCACGCATGCGCACAAATACCCGTCTCACCCATAGACTGCGGCAAATAGCTAACGGGCTATCTATCTGTCTGTCTGTCTGTGATGGTCATGGTCGCGGTGATGATCATGTCAGCCGTCAATCAAAGTCGTGCAGACAGACGGGGTAATAGTTGTAAAGAGTGTGTTTATGTGTGAAATCAAACGCATGTGTAGTAACTACAATAACAATAATAACAGAGTAACGCAGCGCCAGCTTATAATAGACGAAATTTGAATGAAAAGCAGAAGGCAAGTGAACGGCAACATGTTAAATTCGCATGCCGGCCAATGACAAGCGACAACAACAGCAATAACAGCGACAAAATTAATGGCACAGCTGTTCGGCGGTTTAGATATATCACATATTTGTCTATACTCGTATACATTTTCCTAGCTTTTTTTCTATTTGCCGAGCCATGTCCAGCCGTAGAGGGCCATCACATCGCTCCTCATTGATTTTTTCTCTTTAGCATTAGTTTTTTTTGTATTTGTAGTGTCTGATCGCCTAATCGGTCACTCGTGACCACACTTTTGGTGGTTGCTCGATTTAGCGCCTATTTTGCTGCTAAATTTTCGATCTGCACAAATAATAATCATCGACGCTTTTCCGCTGTATTTCTGATTTTATTCAATATATTTGGATGCAAAAAGAAATCGCTTAGGGCCACAGCCCAAAAACAATTGTCGACCGTCATTATTATCATCTTTACATTTGGTGCAACCTTTCCACCTTTGGCTGTAACACACACACACGCACACATGCTGCTGTAGTGGGACACGTGATAACTGTCCTTGCACTGAAAGGCGAGATCTACACCACTACTGTATAAGTGTTGCAACATTTGCCACATGCTGCGTTGCATTTATCGAGGCGTTCACTGTTTGACTGCAGCATTCCAACCCCCATGCAATGCAACATAAGTCCCCTCGCTGATTGCAGACCCATTGTTCTTTTGTTGGAGATGTACATGCACAGATCAAGCAACATTTGAGTAATTGTCCTGACAATATCGAGATTGAATTATAGTTACATTTGTATGACAGTTACATGTGCGTATTGTGACGAGTTAAATTTTTTATTGCTTGATATGTCATAAAAAAGAGATAACAAGCGCATGCTGTCTATAAATATTGAGTGAGTAGACAAAAATTGAGTAATTTTTAATAAGCAGTAGACATGTGTAACATCCTGATTATTTGCGTGATTTGCTGCCTTTGTTAAAGACACAGTGAGGTTATATGAAGTTACAAATATAGACACAGGCATAATGTAGATAAATAGATACTTCATGTAATCTGAAATGGGAATTGTAGCTGTGATCGCTGGTAAAAAAAAATCAGAGAAATTTTTTTTAGTGAAAATTGTGTTTGCCCGCGAGATTACGCAAATCCAATAAAACTGATTTATTACAGCAGTTATTTAAATATTTGGGGAAAGGGATTTAGTGATGGTCGGTGATGTTTAATTATA